GTCATCAGACATTTTACTTTTACACATGCTATAAACCTCACAATATGTGGTCTTTGCTTTTGCTTTAAATGATGATTTCTTTTTTCCTTTAGTGCTGGTGTTCAAATCTAGGACCTTATGCATGCTAGGCAAGCACTCTGCCACTGAACTACATCTACCCCGTCCTAAAACAATGACCTTTTAAAAAAGTTTAACAGTGTTTAAAGAAGTTTTTTAAAATATATTTATCCACATGGTGATCATTTCTGCTGCTTTTCAGGTCTTTCTGTAGAGTCAGATTTCCTTCTGAGATTGCTTTTCTTCTACCTCAAATACTTTCTTTAACATTCTTTCCAGTGTAAGTCTTTGGGTAATGAATATTCAACTGTTTGTAAGTGAAAGTTCTTTACTTTGCCTTGTGTTTCAAGGTATTTTTGCTGAATATGAAATTTTATGTTACTTTTTTTTCTCTCAGTACTAAAAATAATTACTCCATTGTCTTTGCATTATCTTTAACAACAAATACTTTGCAACCAGAATTTTTGCTCTTTTTTACATGAGTTCTTTTGGCAGCTTTATTTATTTATTTTTATTCTTTTAAACAGACTGGTTGCTATGTGCTTTGGTATAATTTTCCTTGGATTTCTTTTCTTTGAGTTCATCGTGCTTTTTGATCTGTTGGTGTGCAGTATTCATTAAATTTGGAAGATTTTCATTTATTATTTCTTCAAATAATTTTTCTTCTGTTCCCTGTCTTCCAGGGACTCTGATCACAGGCACATCAGTCATCGGGAGTGAAACAACAGTTCCCTGATGCTCTGTTCACTATTTGGTCTTCTTTTGCTCTTGAGTTTCTATTACTTTATCTTTAAATTTGGTAATTTCTTTTTCTGCATTGTCTAATCTGCCATTAATCCCATCTGCTACTATACTTTTCATATTTTCCATTGTAATTTTCCTTTGAAGAAGGTCAATTTCAGACTATTTTATATCTTTCATATCTCTACTTATAGAGTCAATCTTTTTTTCTAGCTTTTGAAATTAAGGACTGTTAAGGTTATCTTATCAACTGTGCCATTTCTAGGCTGGGTGTTCCCTCACATGCCTGCAGTCCTGGGCTCCTGTGTGCAGCTCTCTGGACACAGAGCCATCCACATGCTCCAAGCTATGTCTCTTCATCTCAGGGAGGTGGCTGAGCCTGACTCCTTCTTTATACACTGCAGCCTAAAGCCTGCCTCAGGCTGTGAATGGTGCCACATAGGGGCCCACCTTACGTCTCATCTCCCAGGAGTCTCTGTCCCTCATTGCCTGGTGTCCAGGATCTTGAAGCCATCATTTTGTATATTTTGTCCAGTGGATACTGAAGTCTGTGTGGATATTGGTTATGGCTGCCAAGGGCATATTTAAATAGGATGGAAAATCTAATTGCCTTTACTCCATCTAGGCTGGCATCTGAAGCCAGTAATTATATTTCCAGTTGATGTCATTTAACAAAAATATACTTTCACAGTAAAATGTGTCACAAGTTAAAATCTTTGATCTAGCAGTGTCATCTACCTTTCCAGCCCCACATTGGAACCTCCCTTAGTCTGTGAATACCTTGATTTTTTCTAGCAAATAAAATAGTTGACAGCGAGCCTAAGTACATTATCCTGGAAGTCATGATGTTTAAAGTGATGTAGACTTTATTATTTCATACTCTTGAGTCATGTTTGGTTTTTGATACCATCTTAGCTAAAATTATTTTAAAAGTTTGGTTTAGAGAAGGGAATTTGTAAACCTAGTCAGAATAGTGATTTAACCATTTCCAGAAAGAGAAAATATGTTCATCCTAATATTTCAATAGAATTTAATGTAGGAGTTTGTTTTTTATAATGAGATGACTGTGTGCTTTTGGGCAGCCTTACATCTAAGTCATGGATATTTGCGTCAGCCATTTGTACAACAGGCCACGTGTGTAATTCATTGACAAAGTCCCTTTGCTGTCCTTTGTGTGCCAAGCTTCTGAGTGCTTTCCTACCAGCTCCTGCAGAACACGAGTGTGCTTGCTAAAGGCCAAGTCCACTCAGCTGGGCTAAGAACAGCAGGAGTTGTCTGACTCACCTTGTGGGTGGAGTAGCCATCTCTTTCTTAAAATGAGGTTTTATTCTGTACATTAGTTCTTTTAAAGTATGAGTAGAAAAAGATTGTTATTCAAAGAATTACACCTAAAACATTTTTGATTGAATCCTGGGGGTGGGGGTGGGGAGTTGACATGCAACTTTTTATGAAGAGTATTTTATTCTCAGCAGAGAATATGATGCAGGTGATGTGACCTTCTGCCCAGGTGCGGCTTGACTAAGCTTCTTACTTACCCGTTAACAAAGGGAACTTCTGAATGGGTGTATTTAGGCATGTAGTGTTTTAAAATTTGCTGTCCAAATACCCTTTTGCCTTTCTCCAGAAATACAGGTTTAGAAGCACTGTATGTTCATATGATAAGTGTTAATAAATCAAAGCTTTGTCTGAGTGTGGCTGCATTGTGTTAAGTATTGGCGCTTTTTAATTTGAAAATAATTTTAATTATTGCTGTTATAGAAGCCTTAATGCCAGAATCTTAAGTGATTACTTCAGTTTTTTTTTTTTTTTGCTTCAAGTTTCAGAATTAAAGAGCTATGTGTGTTGTCCACAGTAATCTTTGTCAATATCAGTTCAGTTTTTTAAGAAAAGTTGCAGTGGAAACAGCAGTTATTTTAGACTAGTCCCCAGGAGCTAGTATTCTGTCTGGATTCCCAGTACTCTATGGCAACAGGCTCCTGGGTTTGTCTTTGTGAGGTCAACCTGAATGATCCTGGGAACCACACCTACTGCTAAAGGATGTCCTTTCCCTGGACATCCCTTGTTAGGCCTGGGCCCTGATTCTCTCGGATGCCAGGTCAAGTCCATTGAGGTGGTCTTAGTCAAAGCCCACCCTCCTCTTCTGGCACACCACCCATTCTTACTGTGGGGTTTCCATGACCTCACCTCTCCACTCTCATTCCACGTAGCACTGTCACAATATAGGGCAGGCCAAGTCCAGGGTGGTCAAATGACCACATAGCAGGTTCTGTTGGTTTCCAAGTTTCTTAAGATCAGCCATTGAACCATGGGAAGAAAATGTTAGACCTAGTATTTGTATTAGTAACTTTCAAAGTGTTTTATATTAGTAAATAGTACATATATATATAGTTTATGAATAACTAAAAGCACATGGTAAGTATATGTGCCCAGATTTTGTCTTTACTAAGGGCAGTATATGATCCACACATTGTTGGTCAGGTGAGACTGCTCTGGACCTTTGAGGCAGGGTTTTCATCCTAGGCTGGGACCTGTCAGTTCTTAACAAATAAGCCTCATGGAGTGCAAAATTTGGGGTGTATGTACATATGTGTGTTTTTCTAGTAAGGCAATGCATAACCCTTCCCAGATTCAAAAAGGGATGTTTTGCTCTGCAGGTCAGATAAACTGCCAATCTAGGGTCTTAGTTGAAATTACGGAGACTTGTTTTGGTAGGACCATAGCTCGTTTACAGGTAACTTCCTAGGCTCCCTCAAAGTCTCCTTTATTTGAAAATTGAAATATATAATTAGATACCCATTCCTTTAACAAAGTGAAGCTTTACTGGACTTACAGCTGAGATGCTGCAGCCAAGATGACTGTCACCATCTCATAACAACACATGACAAATTCCACATACACTTCTGAAAGCATTTCATCCCGTTTTCGAAAAATACTTTGATGTTGTCTTTCAAATTTACATGCTTGGTCTCTGGTAGGAGTGACTACAGAGCAGGCTTGGATCCCCTGTTCTTACCCTTTTCTGTGAGAGGGTTTTGTGTTGTGTGTATGCAGTTCTGTGCTGCTCTCTGCAGTTGGCAAGGCTGAGAGTCAAGGTCACAAGTCAGCTGACAATGTGAGACTGAGTCAAAGGTATTCTTGAAATCACCTGTAGAATCCTTAAGGCACCCATAATATATGATGTACATAACTGTACAGTTCTGTAGATGGTTCCTGTTATTTCTTGTAATTCTTTGTAATTCCATTTTTGCATGGCTCCCTAGTAGCTCTTCAGTTTATTCCTTGAAGGCTCTTATAATCCTGTTGTCTTACTTGACTGACCACCTAAATGTTGGGATTTATCTACCTATGAGTGGTCAGAAAAATCTTGCCACTCACATTTTCTTTCCAGTGAGTACTGGACCTGGGGTGCATGCTCACTGAATAGAATGACTATTAATTTTTTTTTTTAAATAAGACTTTTAAAAATATGTGTGTAGGTAAATTTAAGTAACTTAAAAGCATATATGGCATAATCCCATTGCATTTCCAGTTTTGCCCTTTTAGTTTATAAACCTGTAGCATTTAATTCAGATTAATGATGTTTTATGGAAGGAAATTATCCTCTTTATTTATTCTCTTATGTAATCAATATTAAGATGTGTAAAGTGTTGCTCTGGGCACTGGGATTATAGGAGCAGAATAAAATTATTGGGGAAAATAGGCAATAAATAATCCAAAAAGAAAAGAAAAGATTAAGTATTATATACACTGTGAAGACATATACTTGGGTCAAAGGGTGCTGGGGCATCTGGCTGTTCTTGGGGACAGTCTATCTCACCCCAGGAGACGGGCAGTGTGAAGATTTGCTTCTACACCCTCCTCAGTAGGACTCTGGTTCCTGTGGCCAGCTGCAGTCACCACATCCCCCCAGGCAAGCAGCACAGCAGCTTCCCTTTTAAAGGAGGCACAGATTCTGAGCAGGTGCTGGGCCTTTGTGCCATCCTCTTGCTTGTTGCTTGCAAGTGACTGGTGTGTACAAGAAGCAGGGTGGGGCTGGCGTGGGTGGTTCCATTGGATACAGCCAGGCAGGCGTTGTCCGCAGCAGCATTCATTAGAGCATCTCATAACGGAGAGAGACCTAATTAGATCTTATTTGTACTTTATTTGGTAACAAATATATCTTACCTGACTTTATTAAGGGCTCTTTTATTTATTTCCAACAGGAATCACGAGATTTGATCTACTTGGAGACTTTGGAAGGTTTAATTGGCTGGGAAATTTCTATATTGTATTATCCTACAATTTGCTCTTTGCCATTGTGACAACATTGTGTCTGGTCAGAAAATTCACCTCTGCTGTACGAGAAGAACTTTTCAAGGCCCTAGGTAATCCTGAGGTTTATGGGTATTTTTCTTTTTGCTAATTACTAATTTTTGACATTTCAGGTAACTTAAAGTCTTTCTTCAGTCTCTAAATGTGTGTAATGTGAGAAGTTCAGTTCTTGATCCACCACATAGGATTGTGACCTCTGTGGAGTCACAGTGTTGGGCCTCAGAGCTCCTGTCTGTGAAAGGGTGGGTGACTCTTCCTCCTCAGGGGCAGTGAAGACATATACTTGCTGAAGTGCATCCTCCGAGAGCTCTGCACACTGCCTGACACACTTACTCCAAGAGCCCAGTGGGCCTCCGCTCCTTTATTCTCATGGTGATGGTGATGAGGATGACACTGTCGAACTCTAGTTTTCTGATAATGATGCCTTTTAGTATTTCTTAAAACTTTTTTGAGGCTCAGAGTTTAAAAGTATCAGGATGACCCATAATTCTCTTCAATAAGTCAGACTAATTCAGGATGACAGCAGTGGCTGTCTTGGCATTGTCTTGGCATTGCCACACACCACGGGCATCATGTGCACGGTGACCATGGTGAAAACTGTTGTGAGCTATGGGTATACTTTTCATGCTTACATCCACATGAATGCTAAGCATACTTCAAGTTTTATATTTTAGGACAACCAGGACAATATAAGCTATCTTGGGTTTGAAGTATGTAGTTTTAAGACAGAAGAAGGGAAACGGCAATTTATTGTATAGAGAATCCTGGCATTAGCTCATTTTCCCAAGTTGACACTATTTGAATGTTTATACTCCATATTACACTGTGGTTTAGCTCTTTCAAAGGCAAGATATTGATTGATTCATTAAGGTCCAACTCTCAGGTAACTTAACCACATGAGCAGCAGTAAAGCTGCTTACACCACCAACCTGGTGACCTTTGGGAGGAAAAAATGATCTCAGCCTACCAGTCCATGTGCATTTTTCTTTGAATGTGCCCTGTGAGGGGTGACTGACTGAAGTACTGGCAGAAAGGAAATAGCTACATCTACTATCAGCCAGAGCACCAGGTAATTTATGAGTGTTAATGCCTAGGTTTCATAATGCTGGCCAGATGAAAACTGCAAATGAAGTGGGACTCATAGAGCCTCTCAGTCAGCTGCCTGGAGTCGAACTTAAGGTGTACTTCTTTGCTCAGGAGAACCCCACTGGTCACTGGCTGGCTGAGGCCGTGAGCTGGTGCTGAGTGAGGGCTCTGGCTGCTTTTGTGCCGAGGCGGCCTCTAGTAGGCACGCAGAGGTAAGGGCTGTAACGTGTTGGCCACTCTGCGTTGCAAAAGCTAGTCTGTTTCCTTCTTAAGTGTTTTCCATTACTCTTTGGGGTGCTCTCCAGGGGCCATTTGGGCATAGAAGGAGGTCCTCTTTAAGTGCCTACAGTGTTTGAATGAGCCCCGAACTCAAGGGTGACTTTTTTAAAGAGGCAAAATTTGGTTCTAAAAGTTATCTCCTTTTTTCCTTTTATTTTCCTGTAGTCTTCCCCCTCTGCTCCTATGTTCATTGGCAATAACAGTGTCCATCTCAGAGAACTCCTGGGACATATGGTGATGGTGGTAATGGGGGGTTGTTTCTGGAGCTGACCACAGAAAAGGGACGTGCAGGTTTTCAGAATGCATGCCCTGCACTGTGCCCGTGGCCTCCCTGCTCACTCAGTGGTTTGGCCATTACTGGGACCAGAACTGTTTTTTCTTGGATGGAGCCTGTTTTCCTTCCCATTCAAATGCCATACATAAGTTCAACTTTACTTTTTCTTTCCTTAAGATAAACAGGTGACAGAAATTTTTAAAATTGAGATTTGAGTGTTTAAGAGTGATGTAAACTGCCTAAAAGGAGGATTACTATCTGGAATTTTAGGAGTAAAAGAGTCTTTTCTTCATTCATTTTTGAAGTGTCAAAAAGGTCTGAGCTTCATGAAAATTATTTCTTGCTTTCGTGCCACCTGAACTCTTTTGAGTTTTCTTACACCTTTCCTTCCTGTGAGGGCACACTGTTGTTTCACATGTGAGGCACAGTATGGAAGTGAGAGCACAGGATGCTAGAGGGAAGTCAGTGTAACTGAAAAAGATGAAGATTTTTATTTTATAAAATATCTTTGAGTGATGAAGTATTTTTATATTTGTTTTGTTCCTTTGTTACTTCTTTCTGTCCCTTTTGGTAATTTTTTCCTATTAGTTTTCTTCTTAATTACATGCTTAATATTTCTGGTGTTTCCTTCCCTACATTTTCCTGCATGTGCATAAGTGCATGTGTATTTTGGAGGAATACTGGGGGTTGAACTTAGAGACACACATCCCCAGCCCTTTTTTATTTTTCCTTTTGAGACAAGGTCTTGCTTAGTTGTTTAGGGTCTCACTGAGTTGCTGAGGCAGGCCTTGAACTTGCCATCCTCCTGCCTCAGCCTCCTGAGTCATTGGGATTGCAGGTGTGAACCACTGTTCCAGGTGTGCTTGTGTATTCAGGTCTTCTGGGAAGCATGCTCTGTGATGGGAGTGAGCTTGCCAAGAGGAGACTTTACGGGGGAAGGGGAAGGGGAGAATGGAAGGACTGTGAAGAGAAATTGAGCTTTGAAGCCTCTGCTGGCCCTGTGGGGAGTCATGACTCTGGATGACCCTTCAGAGCTCCACTGAGGTAAGAAGAGGCCCCTCACGCCTGCCGGTCACTAGAGGCAGACTATCCTGGAAGGGGGTGTGACTTCCTTCCAGCAGCTGTCTTCAGCTGCGGTCATCCCCAGGGTGAGCTGCCAGTGGGGAGAAGAAATCCTTCATTCCTAGAAAGCATTTGGCCAGCACATACAACTTCCACAATAAAATGGAATATTCTCTCCCCACAACCCCAGCCCCTTGCCCAGCCCCTCAACAATATATCGTTTCTCACCATTTTCTCAATTTTTCTGCAGGGCTTCATAAGCTTCACTTATCAAATACTTCAAGGGATTCAGAATCAACCAAACCTTCTGCAAATGGGCACCAGAAGGCACTGTGAGACCCGCAATGGGTGCCACTCTGCAATCAGGAGCCCCAGGGACTCCAGACTCAGGCCATTCCTGTCAACGCAGAGCACTTCATACCGACTTTGGTCTGTGTGTAGGGACTGGGCCTGTCAGTGTCATTTTCTTCATTATCCAAGAAACTGGCTATAACTGATCTTATTTTTTAAACTTAGCTTTCTGATGTACCCCATAGTTTCTAGTTAAACACAAGTTTTTCGTGATGTTATGGAAAAGCACACTCTTCTGCAGACACCTTTGCCATTGTCCAGATGAAAAGTCCCCACCTGGAGTGAACATGCGAGGAAGGGCAGATGTCCATACTTTCTGAAGAGTCTCTCAAACCCCACTGAATGCTTTATTTAGAAGCCTTCAAAAGGCCCTGTTGGCCCCAAGTGAAGCTTCTTCAGAAAATGAAGTTTCTAAATTCTGGGTGGTTTTGTTTTTGTTTTTCTTTTTGAGATGTATCTCACTGTGTTGTCCAGGCCATCCTCGGCCTCCAGAGAGCTGGGATCACAGGGGTGCATCACCACAGCTGGTTCAAGTTTTGTAGAAACTGCTTGTACCAATCATCATAGCAGTGGGTGCATTGGGCTGTAATAATTGCAAATTGTATTTTTATTTACTAAAAGAAAAACAGTTTCTGATTTATGTTATAGAGAGTTCATTAGACTTTGAGCCAAGAGAAAAATACTAAATTCTTTTAAAGTTTGAGCCTTGGTGGACACCACAGGAATACCTTCTGTTGTACAGTATAGTAAGCTGTTACAGAGGAAGTACTAAGTAATTGTAATTAATGGACAGTTTATGTGCATATAACTCAAGTTACCTCTTGTGACAATTGCCAGTGGTGAATACACTCATAACTTAGATTTTGCCTTTTATGCTACATGTACATTTAAAACTTTTTAAAGCATTTTTTTCAAAGATCACTTAATTTCCTGGCTTCTGTGACATTTATGAAAAATGTAAATGCTAAGTGCGAGAAACCCCTTCTCTCCTCATATTCTTCAGGCTTTTGCTACTTTTGTATATGCCATTTTAAACTTCCAACTTACAAAAGTTACCAGTTCAACACCCAGAACTCCTAAGATTAGTGGTTTCCATGTTAAGCATAGGTTTGCACCGTCACGGGACTTGCCAGTCATTCAGACACTGGCAGGTCAGTAGTTGCTGGGATGGCCTCTTGACTCTTCAGTCCACAACTGAGACCACAAACATGATGCTCTGTGTTGCTGTCACCAGGAGGGATCCAGGGCTGTGCATGCCAAAGCACATGGCTGGCCCACTGGCACCAAGGTCAGTCCTGCACAGCTGTGTGGATATGTGTCACATGCACTCAGTGTGTAGCTTTAGGTTGTGCTCAGACAAAAGTAAAAGGTCATTTTTTTTTTTTCAAATTGTTGAATTTAAAGTTTTCTTTGGGGGTAGGGAGATGTTTTTGAAAAACAGTATTTCCACTTACTACCAAAATAATAAGAAACTTTAAACTGTATATTTATAAGTTCCACTGAGTGTACTTCTCCTTTATTTATATCTCTACATTGCTTTTTGAGTTCATATCAATGAGCTTAGTTTTAAAATAAAAAAAAAAACATTCATTTTCAGTTGTGGTTCTCAGCAACACTCAGTATATACCACCAGTCTAGTAATGGTGGATTTCTCAGCATAAGATCCACATGCCTAGAAGATTATAAATACCAGCTGCTTTCTGATTTCACTGTTAATTGTCCCAATTTTAGTATTAGTTGCAAGCTTTGATTTTACTGAAACTTGGAATTCATATTTTGAGCAGATCAAGTAAGGAGAGTACAGAAAAAAACTCAGGAGTATACCAAAATCATCTTTAACTTAAACCAGTTTCAAGGCACTTCCAAAAAAGAGAGTTCCTGGATATTTGTAAGATGTATAAAACTTTTTGTAGTAAAATATTAAACTTCTTAGTGTCTGTCTCCACTTCTTCTTCATCTGGAAGTCTCTTCCGTCTGAGAACTCAAGTCAGGTCTTGTGTGTACTGGGTTTTCAGTCTCAGATACTCGCTGGGTGTACTTTCATTGCTGTGGAGACAGGCTGAGCTCTAAATGGAAGAGTGGCTCCCCTGGGGTCCCTGTGCCTGTGACTGTGAGATACAGAGTTCTGTTGCACAGCCACAGTCCTGCCAGGCTCTGCTGTGGTCACACACACAGGGCTCTTCCTCTGGAGTGAGGTGTAGTCGAATGCAGGTGCTCTGCTGGACATACGCTGGATGCTGGTTTGTATGAGAACCACGCAAGTGGACGGCAGCTTGCCGAGGCCACGTGTTCTGAGTCCTGGTGAGGATGGTCACGCTCAGGGGCCTTTCTTTTATTGTAGTTGAATGTTGGAGGAATAGAAGGTGAACAGGCTCTGAAGGACAGTTCTCCGAGTGCTCAGAGGTCATCAAGTCTGCAGCTACTTTGCTATTCTAGATGGACAGGGTGCCCGAGTGACTGCCTTAAGTCAAGTGGGGTATTCTTGCTTGCCTTTAGTTTTCATTTTATTTTTTATTATTTTTTAAAGTAATTTTTTAGTTGTCAAAAGACCTTTATTTTATTTATTTATATGTGATACTGAGAATCGAACCCAGTGCCTCACACATGCTAGGCAAGTGCTCCACCACTGAGCTGCAACCCCAGTCCTAGTTCCCATTTTAAAAGGTCATCAGGCGTTATACCTAACAAGGTTTTTAAGGGGACTTAGCTTTTTATCGTCAGTTGGTTCTATAATATTTAAGTGATTCTTACAGTTAAAAATTTTGTAAATTATAACATTTGTATTGGTTTTTAGTGATTTTCTGGGATATTTCTTAGATTTAATATTGAAGAAGCTTTATGTACGTCCTGTTTTAGAGACTTGCTCTAAACCAGACTTCGTGTGAAATTGCGCACACACAACACACACTGGTTCTTACATTGCTGTGCTGAGGGACTAGTCAGTGGGCAGGGAAGAAGTGTGGGTCTTCTGCCTCTCATGTGTATCAGAGGCATGTGTGCCCCTGCTTGCAGCAGCCACACCTGCCTGGCTTTGCCAGGTGCTGCAGACTATCCTTGCAGCTTCAGTAATGACTTCGTGGGCCTGTGGCACAGAGTCCCATTGTTTACAAGCCCCTGTGTGCTTGCCTGTGTTTAGCACAGTATTTAATGCACATAGGAAGAGCATACATGCAATACTAACTTTTTGAACTTTAAAAAACTAGTATAATCTTTAAAAAGCAATGTTAGGAAACACTAGTAAATTGTTTTGTTTCTATAAGATAGTTTGTGTGACTTTTAAAATGTTTTAGAAATTAAAGTTTTGTAAACAGTAATTTAATATTTGGTTTACAAATACTAAAGTTTATGTATTTTATTCCATCATGCCTAAAGCTTATTTACAGGCAAATTCCATTTCAGTTTTACAAAGGGCAATAATTATTCTGGTGAAATGTCTAGTAGAGGAAGAGGTGGATAATGTCACTCTCTTTTTGTTGTAGAGTTCTTAGTAGGTAAATTTGTTTCAACCCAAAAATGAAACACCAGTAGTTGAAAGCATATGTTTTTTCTTTTTGAGTTATTGAAGCTAATTAGATTTGTTTGATTTCTTTAATTTCTTTCCTAGGACTGAGCACTCCTGCTCGTGGTCTAGCCAGCTTCACCCAGAGTCCTGCAGAGGAAACGCTGCCAGCCTCTGTTGGCTCACTGGCAATGCACAGGGGCTCTGTGGGTTCTTGTCCACTATGAGCAGCACACTTCACTCAGTAACTCAGTTCATATGCTCAGTGTGTGCTTTGGCTGTGTGTGCTGCATGCTGGTGTTTTCTGTTTTGTTCTAGTGTTATTTTTTTTTAAATACTAGACATGAACCTCTAAGTTAATTTCTCAATTTAGTACTGGATAGTAAACTTGAGTTTGAAAAACAACTTTAGAGTCTACTTTGAAAGAAGAACTAATGTAAAGACTTTTTTGTTTTTTTGTTTTGGTCTCTGGCTTTCGAATACTGTTTAGGCAAAATTCAATGTTACAAATACCAAAAGTACTGTATATGTAAATTACTTGTCACACTGCAAGAAATGTAATTAAAACCAGAAATGGTGAAGACTCGTGAATATGATGGGTGAGATTTCAGAACTGGATGGTCTGTTCATGTCTTATAGGGGTCACTCAGGCCACATTCCACCAGCCTGTCAAGAGAAGCTTCAACTTCCAATTTAGGTGACTGAATTAGGAAAAAGTCCTTTTTCCAGACAACAGGAAAATCCGATTAGGAAACCAGACAGCAGTCACTGGCTGTTGGGTGTGCCTTGGTGTCGCATCCCTGCTTGTCAGGGTCGTGAGGAAGTCGGGCCTGCAAGGGTCATGTGACAGTCTGGGCATCGGGTGCTGTGAGGGGCTGCAGAGGACTCCTGTGCCAGAGGTGAGGCAGTTCGGGTTCAGACACGCCATGTCTCGGGAAAGCTTCGTCAGTTGTGAGAGGCTTGTAAATGTCATGAAGTCTTGGCTTCTCCTTTGAAATGCTGCTGTGAAGTGACTAACAGTAAAGCTTAGGAGTCCAGGTGTGCGGTGCAGCTGGCCCTAGTGGGCCTGGATACTGGAGGGACAGTGCAGCATTGCCAGCCCCAGTGCTGGCTGCCTCTGCGTGCGCTCCTGTGCGTGGGTCTCGGCAGGCCCTCTCTTGGCTCTGCCTTGGTGCAGGCTGGAGTGGCTCCCTTTGTCTTTTGTTTTAACTCTCACTGTGGAGTCTTATCACAAAGACTTGGAGGCGGGGCTGGTATAACAGGGCTTTGGGGCAGAACCCATGAGCTCACATGCCCTCAGAACCTCCCTGTAAAATAGGAAATACCCCATTTTACAGATAAAGGAACCCAGTGCAGAGAGCTGAAGGTGTGTAAGACCACAGTGAGCTGGAGAACTGGATGGCCATGGTGGCCAGTCCAAGTTTAGCCCCAGCCTTCCCGGTTTCTTGGTAACTCCTGTTGGCTTGTTTGGAATGTTCAGACCAGGCAGTCTCTGGAGGCGCCTCTCCTCCCACTGTCCATGAGCTGAGGGGTTGCCAGTCTCTGGCCTGAGACCCTCAAGTGAATGTCCTTTCACTTAGATGCAGCAGATCAATGTCTGTGGTGTGATTATAAAATGAGACCAATCTCGTGTGTACTTGCAAAAGGAACCCCCTTTAACCCCCAACAGTGATGACAAGGTGTCAGTGGCAGCTGTCACGGTGTCTTCGGTCTAGGTGCAGCTGCTGTGCTGCCCCACGTGTGTACCTGGACTCACACACAGATGTAACTTCCTTCAGCCCCACAACAATGCTGGAAGCAGGCCCTGTCCTTCCACTTTGTAGCCAAGGAAACTTCACCCAGGAGTCCCTCTATGGACAGACAGCAGAGCCCTGTCATCTTGGGTTCCTTCAAGAACCGAAGCAAGGTACTAAAAGGCCCAATTATTTTTCAAGGATCATTACCTCGGTCTTGGGCGGGACCTGTTGAGGATGCTGGAGGCTCTTGTGAGACAGGCCAGCTTTACTAGTGCGGGCGAGTGTGCTTTGAAAGGAGGAAAACTGTTTTGACAGCTAGTAAAGTAAGACCCCACTCAGCTTGTCACCACTGTCTGCCTCCCAGGTTTCCGGGTCTCCTGTCCTGTGCTCTGGGGAGGCTGTGACAGGAACCTCAAGCTGCTGCTGCTTGCTGGTTGAGAACAGCATGGACTTGGCAGACTCCCATGACCGCCATGCTAGAGGGGGCCCTGCAGTGGTGGCTCCTCCCTGGAATCAGCTTTCTCAGCACAGCCTCGTCTGTCCCACGGTTTAGTGAGGATGGCACCTGGGGTTGTGGTCCAGGTTGGAAAACAGTAACCACAGTGATCTGTGTCACACTTGCCAAGGGAGGAAACCCTCGGCTCTCCTGCATGGTGGAGGGTGGGCGGGGCTTGTGTCTGTGTGAAGTTGTGTAACCTCCGCACCAGGACCCTGGCTGCCCTGCTGCAGTGGACTGGTCTGCCATACCCACCAGGTACACCTGGGCACATGGTTTGTGTTAGCTGTTACTTTTGGTCATTTATTTAAATGTTCTGTATTGACTTGACTTTTAAGTTAAATGTCCAGTTTGTTGTAGCAGATCGTCTATAGCATAAATATAAATTTAAAAATTTTTAACAGTGTAGTAATAGCTGAAGCTGGTTGTTTCCTTAGAAGTTATATGGTCTTTGTCTAGTTCATGTGAGACTTCAAAATGCCCTCTGTTATCCTTATGGACACTTTCATTTGTGTAATTTCCAAAAAAAAAATAAAAAAAAATCAGAGTTTCTTCAACTCCAAAGAGGATTTTGGATTGATGTTGGGTAGGTTAAAAGACTGTCATGAGCAGGAAATCAGTTTTGAGTCTCAGTTCTATATCTTCATCACGTCTCACCTGGCCAAGCTTCAAGTCTCACGTGTCAGACATTAATCATAGTTTTCTTGTGTGGCTTTGTCCTGGAAATGTCAACCATGTCCAACTCTGCAGAAGGCACAATACTGGATCACAAACACGTTTCCCCTGATTAATTTCATTCCATCTTAAACTCCAGTGTTTGTGTGGGGCCATGGTGATTCCGCGTGGTTGCCCAGGATTGCGTCACCTGTGACTTCCTGTCTTCCTGGATCCTTCCATTCCAGGAGAGGCGGGCTTGTCCTGTGCTGCGTGGCTGTGTGTGATAACCTCCTGATGACCGACCCACCTTGCTGCACACATCTGGGTTGCTGATACCTCCCCAGAATGACTTTCTGGAAGCAGAAGTCCTGGATCAGAGAGCGTGGCAGTTCTGAACAGCCTCCAGAATGGACCCCCGCACTTGCTGCAGCAGTGTGGAGAGTGTGCTCTGTGACTGGCACAGGCCTCACCAGTCCTTCTACACTAGTGGCCACTCCAGGCAAACATTTCATTGCTTTGCTTTGCATTTTTTAATATCTTGTGAGGGCAGATACTTTGAATACTAGAGAAACTCTTGTTATTTCTGTTCTTGTGAATTATCATTAAACACACTAAACCCATTTTTCTTCTGGTATTTCATAATTTCCTTATTTATGAAAATATATTATGGATACTATTTGTCTTTCTGGTGTATCATAAGTGCTATCCTAATTTTTCAGTTTTTTTTTAACTTGTTCACAATGTTTTTCTGAATGAAGACTTTATAAATCTTGATGTCAAAATTTGCATATCCTATGAATTTCTTGTGTCATACTTAGGCCTTCCCCACTGCAAGATTTAAAAATATGTATTTACCCATGTTTACCCTAACAGTGAGAGAGAATTCTCCTACCATGAAACCCACTCTTTTGAAGCGTATAATTCATGGCATTAAATATGGACACAGGGTTGTACAGCCATCACCGCCATCAGATCCCAGAACACCTTCATCACTCCAGGCTACAGCGCAGTCATAGGCTCATGTCTTTCCATGATGGACCATTGCGTGGCTAGACCCCTCTGGGGAGGAGTGGCAGGGTGTGTCAACTGCCACCTGCACCAGCGACTCTTCTCCCCTCCATGCTGCACAGCAGCAGGGCGGCTCTCAGCTGCAGTGTCATGAGCCGAGCCTGTGGGAAGAGTGTCCCATCCCCTGCTCTGCCCAACTCTTGTCTTCTGTATGGTCCCCCTCCTCCCTCAAAGTCCTCTCTGGTCTTTCCCAAAGATGGCCTTGTACCCAGAGGGCGTTTCATGTCTCTGCCAGGCAATTTCTTGATTGGAACTGGGTCTTCTCCGGGCTCACCCCAGATCAGCTGCGGCCTGAGGCAGGGAGAAGAGTATGCGCCATCTCCAGCATCCCGTGGGTCAGACAGGTCCAGGGCCAAGCCTGGAGTCAAGGTCTGGTGAGTCCATGGGCCCACTGGAGGCCAGGGATGGAGGAGCCCGCGGGCAGCACATTCAAAGGCATGTGATGACAGTCTAACACGGTCTCATCCCTTTTAACCTTTCTCCTTTGAGGGCTTCTTCGTGGTCTAGTATGTGGCCAACTTTCACAGATATTCCCAGCATCCTTAAAAAGACCCTCTAGTTTTTCTTTTTTTATGTATACATGAGTATTCACAGCAATTTTATTCATATTAGTGAAGACACGTAAATGACCCAGATACCCAGTCAACATTTGTGTGGAGATGCATACAATGCACTCTTGTCAGACATTTTGTTTTCTTGATCTGTTTATGGTTTGACAAGTGAGTTAATTCCTTTTTCTGACAGTTTCTCTTGGCAACCCATTTTTGATTCAAGCACTGTACAGTTATGTTTTTTTTTTTGGTTCATAAAGATTCATGACAGTTATATCCTCATTGTGGGTTGTAACCTTAATTGTTATAAATGCCTCCAGCTCCACTAGTCTCTCAAGTATTTTCTCCTGCACTTGATGGTGGTTTTGTAATTGCCTCCAACCCAGAGCATGCCAGGCTCTTAATTATGAGGATTAAAGACAGAAGGGAGGTGTGAGGAGAAGGCAGGAGGAGAATCGGCTTCATCTTACAAGGTGACCCAGGGGGCTAGCGCCTGCTAAGGGACTGCTCTGCCTGGCAAGGAAGCACAGGGAGACCCGGGACACAGCCTCGCGTCCTCTGAACCCTCCCGCTAACTCTTATTTCTTTCTCAACCAGTGCTCCAGTTTCCATCCGGGAGACCTAATGGGACAGTGATGTGGCAGTGTAAAGGTTTGCATGTCCTCGTGTGTGGACCCAAAAGCGTTATGCTCAGATTGTCTGTGGAAGAGCTTCCTCCCCCTGTGCTGCAGTTGTTTCCACGCCTCACAGGCTTGCCATCCCAGAAGGCCATTTTTCCATAATCACCTACTTGGTCTTTACTGTCACAGGGTGCCTGAGACCAATCCCTCAGTACTCATCCCTGATGGGGTCCCATGACCAATGCCAGAACTTCTGTCCCCATTGACTTTCCTGAGGACCTGTTGCCTGCAAGTAGCACCAGGGGGCACTTGGTTGCAAAGAACAGAAACAGACCACCAGCCAAAGCAGGAGTGGGCTCGCTGTCACCGGTGCTCTGTGCAGGTTCCGAGTCAGGGCAGTGCAGTCACTGCCCATGGCCTCGCTGCAGGACAGTGCCCTGCCTGTCAGAGCCGGAGACACATCTGCTGCTTGAGCCTTCTGAGTGAAGGCTCTGCGATGTGGCATCCCCCCTGCTAATTGTACAAAGCATTCTCCAGATCAGTCTCTAGATTTTGTAATGTCATATACCCATCATAATAAAGGGTTTGAGCAAACCCTAACATGCACATTTATTCACATATAAATAAAAAAAACCATGCCAGAGTATGAATGTGCCCCAGTGAAACCCATTATTCCCCATAATTATATGTACCAAAAGTAAAAAATGCTGAGATGAAAATAAATAGAAATATGGATGGTCACTTCTCTGGGTTAGTTTGGAACCTGGCATGTCACGTGCTTGGCAGCCTGCCCCTCTGCCACCCTTGGGCCAGACTGTGCTACTTCTGCACATAGACCCCACCTATCGGCCTGGTCTGTCTTCTTCAAGCAGATAAGCAGATCTACCAGGGGTGCTGTCAAGGAGCCGCAGCGCTGGCAGGCCTGACGGGTGGGCCCTTGGCCTGCCCCACTGCTCTGCTGGCAGGAACTGGGTGGGGTCTCTTCTGTGCAATGCCACTCTAACTGGCCACTGTAAATAACCAGCCCCTATCCACGGGGTCTGCGTCTGTGGATTCAGCCAATCTGGATCAAAAATATTCAGAATAACATCTGTACTGACCACGTGAAGACTTTCCTGGTTATTCTTCCCTGGCGGGATTTACAGTGGTGATCTGAAGCATGCGGGATGCTGTGCAGGGAGCCAGGAGGGCGCTGCAGCCAGTCTCCACCTCAGAGACAACTGTCAGTGGGGCTGCTTGGTCATCTTATGTCGGGGCTACAGTAGTCTGTGCTGTTCTGTCACTAAAGTATGACTTACTCTATCGAGTAACATGGAATGTTTTTATTTTATTGCTTTACACAAAGTTCTCAACTACAACAGCAACCTATTACCCAGAATAAAATGATTATTACAAAGTAAGTTTAGGACCAACAGACTGTAAGGTGTGTGTTGGTGGAAAACATCTTGGTCAGACACTAACTGTACTTTAGAATTCCTCATTTTATTTCAAGAGATTAAACTAAGGAATCTGACATTTTTTAAAATAAATAAAGGCTAAAACTAGATAGGTTGGTTGGCAGGTTTTGCAATATAGTTATTATATTTCTTCTCTATAATTACCAAGAGTTGTCACTGGGTTAGAAATGGCCCTGTAGTATTTAACTCAAAACTCAATACAGTTCTTAAGTTTTCTCCTCAGAACTATACAACTTTTCAACATTCAAGAATTTTCTTTTGGTAGCAGGAGCGGCAGAGAGGACACACGTGGAAGGGGGAATGATCCCCCACGGAGAACTCCTCCAGAGCCTGCAGGCAGGTATGGTGGAACAGGTGCGCACAGGACAGGAGGACTGTGGCCCGGGGACGGGGACACGGGTGGCTGCTCGTCCCCACGGCTGCTTGTGCATCAAGGGAGAGCGGGGTCAGGCAGATGGAGCACTCGCAGATCTCCCGATGAGCAGCCTGCAACACAGGGTGGACAGGTTTGTCCTGGGAGGTAGTTAGTCCCATCAGGCTAGATGCACAGACCCAGAGACCGGGAGTGAATCTTCTAAAGGACCAAGTTCACTCTGTCAGATGACAAATTATAGGCACACGTGTGCGAGCGTGCGCGTGCACACACACACACGTGAAATGGGAGAGATAGTAACCCACTTGTAACGAGCAGTTTTAAAACAAAATTACTTTGTAAAATACTGAGCATTAATGATATAATAACATGGCTCCTTCTAATTAGACAATAAAAATAGAAATGTTCACAATACTTGGGTCTTTGTAACCACTAAATCTCCCTACGCTTAGGATGTGTTGTTTCCCCCCATGGCTTTGAGTCATGGGAGGCCTTTTCTCTCTGTCCCTAGGTTCTGTGGGTGCAGGAGAGGATGGGGGGGGGGAGTCCCAGAAGACCTTTAGGAAGAGTTCTGGTTGCTCAGCAAACACATCAGCCAGACGACATCTAAGCGATTTCACCATGAAGGGACCCTGGCAGCCACTACCTGGCTCATAAAGGCCTACCGTCCCGTATGGGTGCAGGTCCAGCTAGGGCAGGCCTCCCGGGCTCCTGAGTCCTCCAAGGACCCCTGCAGAGCTCCTCTCGCCCTCTTACTCACCCGTGCCTCAGTCCACTCCTTCAGGGGTCACTAGGCAGTCCAAAGCCTACCTGCACTTGGATCTTCTCCCAGTCCTCTTCTGTGAGCTCTTGCCCGCACTTTTCATCCAACTGCTGAAGAATGCTTCGGTTCACAGCCAAGCAGTGATCGATTTCTGAGAAGAGTTCTTCTATGTTGGTGTCGTAGGAGCACAGGATGCGGTGACTGATCTCTATGAACTGGGGACGGGGAGAGGCTGCCTAAGAGACTGCAGGCCGAGGGGAGGAGCTTCCTGGAGTCCTGACCACCTGTTGACTAACTTGCCTCAAGTCTGTGTCTGAGCAATGCTTTTTTGGGCAGTAACTATAAATCCTGGCACTCGTTCTGGACAGATGACTAAAAATGTCGTGATGGGGTCAGGACACACCTCGGAGATGCTGCAGCACCTCGACACGCTCAACAGTTGAAAGAAGGCGCGTTCCTTCGTGAAGGAGAATCAGCAAGTCCAGGAGAACTCTGACCCCTGCCCCTCCCCTGCGGTAGGGTGAGTGCCCTCCTGTGAGGGCTCCGTGTACCTGGAGGACAGGCCTTGCCAAGTTTTTCCATCCTCTGCCCTGCCATTTTCCCTTCTACTTTCCAGTCTCATCTATCCTAGCAAAACCCCCGAGTTTAGCTGTTTGCTCAGGACTTCACGTCCTCAAGAAGGCGCCCATGTCACATGAGATTCATAAAGGGGTATGTGTCTCTTGGTCATCTGTCTTGTTATTCTAATTTACCAGACTTCCAGGTGAAGAATGTAGGAGGGTAGGGGGGAAATATATTTTCTTCCCCTATAGTTTATTTGGTTGTAAACTCTAGCAAAGAAGCAAAGAATGCATTTGAAATTAAAAGTAGGAGACAGGAAATAGGATTTTACAAAATTAGGTCACATTGTCATCGTGCTCTGGCACCATTTACTCTAAGCCACAACTCCTGGCACCAGCAGAGCTGGTTCATACCGCTCTGCTTGCCAGCCATCTCCTCACAGAGGTTGCATTTAGGTGAATTTAGTGTGACATAAGAACACAGAATCCAAGAGAAAGATGGTGGCCTTCGTTTGACTGACTTCACCCTGCTTTTCTCATTGGCTCTGAACTCGAGGTTTCAAAGCACTCCCTACCTGAGGCCCTTAAGCAGCCTCTCGGGCACAGGGGTCGACTCCCACAGCAGCCTGCAGCACTCACTGCCAGCACTGGGACAGAGGCGGCAGTTCTGTCCCCAGACTACAGGAAGCTTGCTCTGAAAGTCCTGTCCTTCCGGCATTCTGGAGTGGCTTCCAAGCCCACTTCTTTGATAAGGTGATACACTTTGATATAAAAAGATCTAGAAAAGCACAGCAGTCTAAGGACAGAAAGGCTCGACTGGAGGACCGCTGGGTGGTTGTGGCAGGGCATGCTGTTACCTCCTCATGGCGATAAACAGGAGTCATAGGATGATGCAAAACGAGTGCAGGTTTTGTGCAGCTAGTTCATAGGATCAGAGCTCAGGATCATGCAGATGTCACACAGATTCACAGGTGACTTCCTCTCTCCCAATTCTGGGCCAGGCAGACAAAGCAGCTCCAAATACACAGCAAGGTGTGGCTGGGTATAACCTTCCAAATTACAAAGGTTCAACCCTTGTGTATATGCCCTTCTCTCGGGGGGATGCCACCTCCAGTCGGTTTGAGGATGGAGGCTGATTCTGTTACTCTTGTGCTTACAGAGTGGTACAGGTTTGCCCTCGTGGCCTGCCCTAGTGGGTCTCCCACAAACCCTCTACGATTTCCTAGGAACACACATTAGAAGAAATGCCTGGGTGGATTAGTGATGCTGTGATCACAAAAGGCTCTGAGTCCAAAACTGGTCCTCAGGTGGGCTGGGGAGCGTGAGCAGTTCCTGGACTTCAATTAAGTTGTGAAGACTGCGATTCCCCGAGTAGGAGGAAAGCAAGGAGCGGAGGCTGCAGAGTCCCCGGGAGTGAGTGGCAGCATTCACGGCTTGGGGCCTGGACTGCACCTGACTTTATTCTCTCTCCTCATCTCAGAGGTATATCGCACACTCGTCTAAAAACCTGTGTGGACTGATTGATAGAAGCAATGATACAATTATTTTGAGGACTTTCTAATGGCATGGCTCAGGAGGTGCCCTTGACCACTGACCAAAGGAGTACAGCCCAGCCACATGCACTCTTAAAAGTTTCGAGTAATCACCTTAAAAAAGCTCCTAAAATCAATTTTAACTTTTGTTCTATCAGCACCACCAAAACATACGTTGACATCTGCTCGGCCATGAGCTGCGTGGGTGTTTCACATTCCTGTCACCCACCGAGGACTGTGCACCAGCACTTCGAGTGGGGTGGCCTGTGGCTACCTGTACCAGACCCTTCATGTCACAGGAAAGTGTACAGTTTCAGGCTGGGTTGTTGAAGGGTGGCCATTGATGTCATTTGTGAGAGCTTGCTGGGGTCACACCAGTGGCTCCTTTGAAAGAAGGTGAAACCTAATGCAAGTGGCAGGAGGACCCTGCCTTAGAGGGCAAGACCGTGGACACCAGCTCTGCTCTCCGTCCACAGCACAGAGTCACTACTGGACGCTGGCCTCTGCTCCGCTGGGCCCCGGATGTTCCTCCTGACGGGATGGCCGGCCGTGCAGCTGAGTCCCTGGCCACACAGGCAGGTCTCTGAGGCTGTGGTGCAGCAGAGTGCCCAGGGCAGCTGCCGCCAGAACCCGCACTGCTGCAGGGAGACAGCCCAGCCGTGGCACGGTTCCGTCTGCAGGTAACAGGGTGCGTACCTGCCGGCAAGCTCACCGCTCTCCACCTGTCCTGTTTTCTTTGTCCTGCCATTGGTTCCTCTCTCCTCTTAAATTAAAATTTTTTTGCGCCCTTTTTTCTCTATCACCTTGAAGATGAAGCCTGTTTCTATTTTTGTTGTGTCACCCTAGAAATGCATACTTACAATCACACAGCGTCTCAGAAACTGCGGCCTCTGAGACAGTGCGGGACCTTGGGGCACTCGAACTCCAGGCCCTCTCCTGCCTTATTCCTCTTCTTCAACGGGTGGGCGCCACTGTTTGCACTGGGCAGAATCAGCATCCACATGAGCTCCTGTTTTCCACCACGAGGGCCTCAGCCTCTCATCCAGGCATTCTCTCTATGGAACGCATCCTTTAGCACTTGCCTTAATGAAGGCATTTGGAGGAAGCCGGGTCGGTCGGTGTAAAACGGTGTTCCTTTTGCCTCTGATCCTGCACGTGGTTCTCGTTTGGTACACACACGATTCTGTGCTCCCTACTTCGTCTTTTCCAAGGTGTGGCTTCTGCTGCTCCCTCCGGGGCCCTGTGGCAGGCTGCCTTCTACTGTAGTGGTGTCCCGGGCTTCAGACTTCTGTCCCACGTTCCCTTCCCTTCTCAGCTCTGGTGACTGGCAGGGCCGACACATCCTCACAGCAAGTGAGGGCATCACAGCCACTTCATGGGAAACGATGCTCTGGAGGAACAGGGGAGCCAGCCTCAGGGTGCCCTTTCCCCAGGCCTCACTCGCCAGGGACCGAGGGCGAGTGTCTGCTTAGCCCTTCAGCTGCTCCGGTCAGAACCAGCTGTATTACAAGGTAGGAATTCAAACTGTGATATTGGTGGTTCCACGTTTGAATTATGCTTATAATTCAGTTTAAAGATAACTGGTAAAGTCCATACTGAGTTAAAACTTTTCCTTGGAACAACATTAAATATTAAGAAAATAAGAAACAGCACAAGAATTTGAGGGGCCCCGGAGAAAGAAAGTTTTACGCGTGCATTTTGTTTTCCCGGCCCTGGACCGTGCTCCTCCTTCCAGCCCCCATGGGGCACCCGCCCACTGCTCTCTCCCCTCCTGGCTCTGGACCTCTCTCCTCCTACACAGGCCGCCAGGCCCTCCCTCCCTGGGCTGCTCCTCCTCACCAGGGAGGTGAGGCTGGGAGCACACAGGCTCCTCACGCGGCACTCCTGGTCATTTCTCTCTTGGGGACCAGGTTCCTCGCCTGGCTTCCAGGATAAGCCACCTATCTGCTCTCCCTAGCACTGCTGGTCTCCTGACTCAAGACATGCCACCTTCTCTGTTCCTCCCCTGCCATCGCCCTGCCCTGCAGCTTCCCACGGCTTGGAATCCTCTTCCCTACATCCAGGTTGTCCATCCACTGCCAATGGACAGTGACTTGCAGCAAGCCCAAGGTAGTCCCGGCCCAGCCCCTCAGCCTCCTCCTCTCCCTGCTCTTCTCCTTCTCTCCGTAGAGTACACTCAGGTTGCTCTGGTCCAGGTCCCAGTTGTCACCCACAGGTGTCTCTTTTTCGTCAAATCCCATGTCCAGCTGATGAACAAATCCGGTCAGTCTGCCCCTGAACACTTCCCCAAACTGGGAGCTACCTAGGTTGCTCCCCCAGCAACTGTGTGATCACATCGCAGTTGTCACCGTGGGTTCCCACTGGTCAGCTTCCAGAGTCACCAGTGAAGCACCAGACCTCCCGCCCCGGTCCTGGGAGGTGGGCTGGGTGGCCTCCTGGCTGTGGTCCGGTCATGGACATCCACTGGGAGCTGGGGCGGGGCCCGGTGTCTGTTTCATCTCCATTCCTCTCATTTAAAACACCACACTCCCCACTTTACCCTTGATTTCCGGTTGGCCTGTCCTCATGGCATTTACTATTTCCTGCAGTTTCCAGTGTTTTTACCGACACGTTCTTGCCTCTCCTGACTCAGCCAAGGCAGGCACCTGGCAGCAGAGCCAGTTCTCCCTGAGCCGTCTGTGTACGGGTGACTGTGGCTGCGCTGAGCAGCCAATCCTGGTCAGCTCCTCACTGAGAATGCGGCTTGCGTCAGCCCAGGAGGGCACTTCAGGTGGACTTTCCACTGTGGGGTAAATTTATACTCTAGTACCACTGAGTCCGCCTCACCAAAGAACACCTTCACACTTAACACCTACACCCCCTTATGAAATTAAAGGCGTTTTTTTAAATGAGAAAAAGAACCTCCCTTTATATGCAGTAGTGGTCAAAAGCTGCTCTTTGGCTCCGTCACAGGTATTGCGTGGTGAACGACACGAGGCTAAGCCGGTCTTCAGAAGAGCTGGGGGGCTGCGGAGCTGCTGCCCCGAGGCCTGTGACCACAGTCACTCCTCGAGGGAGCACTTCCGTGTGGCAGGACAGGCAGCCCCGCCACCTGAAGTGGTGCCTTCTGAAAGGGGGCTGGCA